ACTGCTTGCTTATTTAACCTAACTTCTTTGAAATCACAATCGATAAGCAGTTCACAATGAGTTTTGGGAATACATGCCAAATTCCAGTCAGTTCTCACAAAATATTTGCTTGTTGTGTTTAATATTTAATTTTTTATAGTTTTTATTTATTTATATTTATTATAGTAATATTTCTATTTATTTTAGTATTTATTTAAAAAAAACCCATTTAACATATTTTAAAAGTGAATGCGAATTTGTTTCAACCAGTCTTAATATTGGTTTTTTACAACTTTGAAAGAAAAAATTGCGAATATTCTTATATTATTGTTATTTTATTATTACTTTTGTTGTTATTTTTTTTTTCATACTTAATATAAAAATGCAAATATATATATATATACATATATATATGCATTTAAACAGAGTATTTAATATTATTTTAAGTATTCCCATTCAGACTACATAATAAAAGGCGTTTTCGGTGGCTCGCAAGTGTGGCAAAAAATGCATGCTGGCCTATATTCGCTAATCTGTCAAGTGTTATGTTTTATCACATCTACATAATGCAAGCAAATTTAATTTTGTATAAAAATCAGTTATTAATATGAATTAAAAATTAAAATGAATAGTGAATTAAAAGCAGTGGTAAAAATGTTGGAGATTTCAAAATAAAACTATGAAATTTCACTTTTTACCCAATTTTCAAATTTATGATATTTTTGAATATTGTTACAAATTTTGTTTACATATGATTTTTGACATGTGTTAATAGTTCACTTATTTCGTTGATAACATTTCGTTTTTTCTTAATTAGCCGAAGTGTTTGGCCAGTAAGCAACTACCAGCTTAGGTAGAGAAAATAATGTTGTTGTTTTGCGTACATTTCAGCCAGTGTAGGCTAGGTATAGGTATAGGTTGGAGTGGCGGCCTTGTATCCCAAAAAGCCCACTTAAGCACAAATAAAGGCCCGTTGTGGTACCACAGGAGTTACGTTATTTGTATATAGATTTAATCAGTATACATTTAACGCCGAAAGAAAGGTAACGACTCCCCCATTATGCAAAGGAAAACCAACCTGACAGTTCTATGAACTTGGCTAGGTCCCTAACATTACAGGATGACAACTCAGTCAGGTCAGTTAGAAAAGGAGATCCAAGGATTTTTAATCTTCTTCTGGCTAGGGAAGGGCACTGACACATGAGATGGAGTACAGTCTCCTCCTCATCCTCAGAGCCACAGCCTCTACAAAAGTCATTAAAGGGGAGACCCAGTCTCGTAGCATGCCTTCCTATTACGCAGTGTCCCGTCAGCACAGATACCGTAGTGCTGAGCAGGTTCCGTCTTAGTTGAAGTAGCTGACGGGTTCTTTTCTTGTCAAAGTTCGGCCAAGTCAACCTAGAAATCTGACATTGAGGTTCGTCAGCCCAGTATTGCTTGGCTATACTCAGGTATTTTTGTATGATTGCCAGTTTAGCTGTAGCAAGAGGGACGCCTATATCAGAGAGGTTAATGTTAGGGAGAAGAGCACCTGCCTTGGCTAGATCGTCTGCCCTACAATTTCCTGTGATATCCCTGTGACCAGGAACCCAAATAAGTTTGACCCTAACAAACCTAGCTAGGTCATTTAGTGAAGCACGGCAGTCTTGATTTGTGATTGATGTGGCTGAGGTGCCAATCAGTGATCTGATGGCAGCTTGGCTATCAGAAAAAATTGAGATTGGTAAATCGGATGTTCGATTGCATAGAACCCATTTTACAGCTTGGTGAATTGCCATTATTTCGGCTTGAAAGACGCTACAGTGGTTCGGAAGTCGAAGCGAGATGCTGAGACCCAGTCTTTCAGAGAAAATGCCACAGCCGACTCGTTTATCTATTTTGGAGCCGTCCGTGTAAATGTCAACCGTTTGGAGAGGGATCGCTCTTTCAAGGATCCAGTCCTCCCTGCTAGGTATAAGAGATTCGAACCCCCTAATTAGGTCTGGGTAACAACACATGTAGTCAATAGAGACTGGAGTTGGCAGATCCTGATTCAGTATGATCGCGTGGCCTATATCAGTTCTTGACCAGCAGGAGAGGGCGTTGAGCCTAGTTGCAACTATTTTGGCTTGCTGTTTTACCAGAAGCCGAGATGGCAACCAATGAAGCATAGCGAAAAGAGCTTGCGTGGGGGTAGAGCGAAGAGCACCAGTGATTTGTAGTGCGGCTATCCTCCTAGTTTTGTCAATTAATTTGGTGTGGCATGCTTTTTCAGTTGCCTGCCACCAGAAAGCAGCCCCATACAGAAGAATTGGTTCGATAACAGCTGAATAGAGCCAGAGTATAATGCACGGTTTGAGCCCCCAACTGCGACCTATAGCTCTTCTGCAACAGTAGGTGGCGCATACCGCTTTGCGGGCTCTCTCAGCCAAGTTGTCTTTCCAGCTGAGTTTAGAGTCCAAAATTATACCCAGATATTTGACGTTCGAACTTAAATTTAGAGTAACGCCCTTTATCTTTGGTAAGGAACATGTCGGAATTTTATATTTCCTGGTGAAGAGAATAACCTCTGTCTTTGCAGGGTTAATATCCAGACCGAATTCCCTACACCATTCAGTTACAATGAGGAGGGCAGAGTTAATAACATTGGATAGAACTTGGGGGAATTTGCCAGATGAGGCAATAGCAATGTCGTCCGCATAAGCTATAACACTACATCCGGATTGTTCCAAAAGTTTTAACAACGAATTAACCGCTATGTTCCATAGAAGAGGAGAGAGAACCCCACCTTGTGGCGTTCCCCGACTAGCAACTTGCTGTTTTTTACCATACTTGCGAGCCACCGATAATGTCTAATATTATTTTATATTATCTTTTTCTAACATTCGGTAAATAGATAAGCTCTATTATAGTATAGTGTAGTTTAGTAGTGCTATTTAACATCGCACCTTTTAAAATTCAATACCCATATTTAAAAATATTAGTGAATTATTTCAGATAAGTTCCTGTTAGTAAAATTTTTATTAATTGTTACTGGTTTTTACTAATTTTACGTTTCGCTGTACACTAAAATCTAATAAAGACTTGTTAAAAATCAGTGCAATAAATGAGATGTAAGATAAAAATAAATTTAAAATTTTTACAAAGATATTGCAAATAAAAATTGAAAAAACAAAAATAAAAACAATTGAGATATATAAACATTGAATTTTAAATTGGATAATATTAAAAAAAAAATTTCTATTAACAAAAAACTTATAATAATTAATTAATATTAAACTGATTTTTAACATCCGTTTTGATGAAATTAGTAGTAGTAAATTATAACAATAAAATTCTTTATTTATTAATTAATTGAATTTTTGCCTGACCATAAAGCTGTTTCGAGTATTGCCAAATACCCATCATCATTACCATCATAACTAATTAATACAATTGAAATCGTTCTCACGAAACGCACATTTTAATTTTAATACATATTTTAGAAGTATTTTAACAGGTTTATTAATATACATAAAATATTTTCACACCTAATAAACACAATCCATAATTTCTAAATATATTTAAATGATTTAAAAATAATATAACATCTCTGTTTAAATTTGCCAACACTTCAAATAAATTTCTCTTATTCTTTGGCGTTCTCGCTGTGACTTTGTACTCACCAAACAATTCTACTCTTTATTAGCTTAAGTATTGCTTCTTCTTGCGATAGTACTATAGTTACTCTGCCGTTTCCAACGTCACCTAACTCCAACCCGCTGAACTTTATCTACTTCGCGTTTCAATTGTAGCATTCCAACAATTTTGATTCGTGTATTTGTGATTTTTGCGTTAGTCAGTCTATCTTGGCCTTTGAGGCTTATTTGTGGTGTTTTGTTTTTACATAATTTTTGTTATTATTTTTCTAATTTACTATTTTATTATTATTAATAAATGAGTCAACAGTTTTCACATATAAAAACAACATAATTAGTGCAAAGAAACAAAACAAATAAAAGAAAAACGAAAGCAGGTAAAAATTAAAAATGCAAATGATTCCATATTTTTTTCTTTTTGTGTTATGTGTTTTACTAGTCGAAAGAAAAAACAGCTGATTCTGTAATCGTTGACTTTATTTTTAATATAAAAAAAAATTTGCAATATTTATCAATAAATTATTTTATCACATCATATATTTGATAAAGTAATAAAAATAATTAAAGAATCTGAAGTGAATTTATTTAGTTTGTTTGCTGCCATATTGTTCATGAGTAAAAGTGAAAAATATTGACTTATCTTGGCACTTACTTCACCTCCTCCCATCTGTTTCATTAGTGTGTGGGTATGTGTTGTGTATACGCGATACACTACACTTGTGTGGACTTGTACTCGTTCTTGTTCTCATGCAATAAAAAGTGTCGAAGAAGAATGATTCAATGATAGTTTTTGACCATTGATTTTTGTTTTTTTTTGTTTCTTTTTTGTGTATGATAATTTTCTCACAATTTCTGAGATTTAATAAGTTCTTTTATTATTTATAAATGTTATATTAAATGAGTGAATATTTTACTAATTAATGTCATTTTATTATTACAGATCTATGGGCATTTTATTGCCACCTGTCTCACAGGTGACAAACACACGCATTAATCTTACGCAGCATCATCGAAATCGCAGTTTAGACAGCGCATTGCAGAGAATACCAGAGGTGGGTAAAATTACTCAATTGTTTATATTTATTTTTGTGTTATAACAAACAAAAATTATATTTTTAGTTTGAAAGTTTTTATTTTATTTTACCTCGCAAAAAATAATGTTATGTTAACGAAACTATTATAAACGAAATTATTATACTATTATACTATAATCATAATATAATATATTACTTTTATATTTCGTCAATCAATAAGTTAGTTAGTTGGATGATAATATTTAACGAGTTTATGCGCTCCTTATTTTGGAATGTGCAGAGAATTTTAGTTAATAAATTCCTTGAGATATGAAAAACGGCAGGGGTATATGTCACGGAATCACTCGTCTACACAGACGACCTTACCCTCCTATCAAGGATATAAAATGCAAGTACCTATTGTTTACAACAAAAAAACAAAAAACCAATCAATATTAAATAAAGGAATAAATTGCAAAAAAGACGCCAAATTAAGAAAAAAAAATGTGTTCATTCTTACCCCAAGATAATTCTTCATATTACAAACCGATCATTCATTATACCACTTCCCCAGCCATTGTATTCTCTAAATCTCACTCTCAGATATTATCACTTGTTTGCAGACCTAAAAATAATGTTCCAGCAAGAGAAATATATTATAAATAAAAAATTATTGTTGCTGTTGCTCTATCTATATAGCAGACACTATGATACATCGGTTAGGATATTAGTGGGTAATGGTTGTGTGAGAGAGTAACCGATTATTAGAAAATATTATTGGATTAAGGAATGGGTAGAATTTAAATTGAAGTCAACCAGAATCAAGACGGAAAAATCTAACAACTTTTATAAGTAATGATTATCGATATTTTGAGGTTAAAGATAAATCGAGAGAGGCATCGAATTTATAGAGAATCATTATAATGAATTGTATCACACTTGGAGAAGATCAAGTTGCTCAAATAATACTGGGTAAAGGGTTAGTGTAGTTGTCGAAATCATTATTATTTTTACAAACAATAGGAACTGTTTTTTTTTTCATCATTTTATTAAATTTGATAACGTATACATACCCATAAGTTAAAATTAATTAAGAAATTGGTTTATAAGTATGTTATATTATTTTGAATTTTTTGCAAATAAATATTAAAGAAAAATTTATTTGTTTAACAATAATAAGTTGCAAAAATGAGTCAAACGGACTCCAAATATTATGTATTCAATTTTTTTGTGCTTAGAGCACACTTCACTAGATATAACATATATTTTACTATTTATTTGTTATATAGTTTTTCTTATTAAATTTATATTTTAATTTTAATAATTACTAAAAATTTAGTATTATAATAATATATCTAATAAACCTCTCAATTACCTATTTATTCTACCCATCACGAAAAGGATTTTCATCTTCCACATATTAAGCTTAACTCTTTATACTTCTTAACATATGTTGACATATTTATTTGTCAATTAAGTACATACTATTTTAATTAACATATTTTTTTAATCGTAATTAAAACTATTTTACATTAAAAAGTTTATTTTAACATTTAGAAAATCCTGTTGTGGTATTTTATAATTGTCTCCTGACACAATATCCGCTAATTTATAAAATTTTAATTTTAAACTTAACTATTAATCGTACATAATAAATTTATATCCGTTTAACATTTTCATTTACATATATATATATTTTTTTTATATAATAGGTTGAAGTCTCATCACCTAATGCTGAAAGCGAGAATACATTTTGCACACCATCAATACTTGGTACAACGATGTGCTCGAAAATAGTTACCACCGCAGCGAATGTAACGGCAGCATTAACCACAACCACAACTCCAGCGCTGACATCATCATCCACAACAGCAGCGGATACAACTGCAATTGGTATTGTATCAACCACAGAACCCACTGTTACCACAACAGGACCAACACCATCATCATCATTATTATTATCACCACCACCACCACCACCATCCGCACCATCAGCATCATCATCATCGCCTTCTACATTATCATCCATACATCATGTTACAAATCTCAGTGTAATTGGTGCGTAATATCAATCAATAATTTAATACTTGTAATTTAACTATTTTTATTGGAATATTAATTTTTTATTTACTTTTTAATACACAGTCGAACCGACCTGCCCCGCAATGCGTACACGACCCAAATCAAGTGAGAATCCTTCGCGCAGCAACAGTAATAATACTTGCAATATTGTCAGCAACAGCAGTGCCAACAGCAGTAATAATATGAATAGCAACAATGGCAATGGCAATAGCAAGAAACGTGAGGATCTCACCAGTCTTGGTTCAGATGATTCAGGTAAGGCATTATCATTCACTAATAATTTATGCATACGTTGCCTTTGTACTAATCGAATATGCATTGTGTTCTACTTAATATTTTCAAATTTCAAAATTCTTGTAAACCTTAAAATATATCTACATATATCCCAACTTGAAAAATTAAAAAATGACGAAATTAACACCGCAAAATCAAATTGGCTCAAAAATGCAACGTAAATGTAGTAAATAAAGTTATTTTTTCTTTTCTTTCTTTTCATAATTTTATGCTTAACTAATGTATGCTCTTCTCTTGTAGGCATAATTTGTGGTTCTGATTCTGACCAAATTTCACTTAACCGTATACGACACTCGCATGAATCTTTAGACTCTGGTGAAATGGATGCAGAGGAAGAATGCATTGATATGCTAGAAACAACATCGATGGATGAAGAATATGGCATTCTTCAGTCGGACCTGTGCTTTTATCAGTCGCCTGATACAGATTGTCGTACTCTGAGACCAACACGTAAACAGAAACAACAAAAACAAAATAATATTGATAATGATGTTGCCGCTGGTGGTGACAATAATACCACTAAAGAACTTAATGAGCGTATACGTTACAGAGAGATGAATATGTCTCAAGCAGCTATAAATTTGGAGCGTAAAATTGGTGATCCAATTATCGACGCTGAAGCTGAGACACCTACTGCTGACGTGGTAGATGCAAGTGCAGCTACACCAACGGCAAACTTACCAATATCTTTAGTAGCATCACCTACTAACGCTTTACCCGGTAAACCACTAAAAACTGGAGATGCGTCAACAAATGAATCAACAAAGAATGATGTGCTCTTCAAGAACTTCTTTGGTGCCACTAAAAATGCTATATTCCGCACCGCACAAAGCATTATAGAAAATCATGAAAAAAAAAATGCAGCAAAAAATAAAACAGAAGAGGGTAATACTACACAAGATCAAGTAAAGTCGCCTACTGACATTTCAAAGAAGAAAGAATTTTTTGGTCTTATTACTTCAAGTGCAAGTAAAAAGGCTGCTGCGGCCGCTGCCGCTGCTGCAGCAGCTGCATCGGCATCTGCCACAAATACACCAGCCACAACACCTTCTATTGAATTGCCAGCA